CAATAATCTTGCTGATTTTTGTTGGAAATATATAGGTTGCAGAAGACCAAGAAATTTTTTAAACTAAAAATTTAATATTAAAATGTAAAAAAAAATATTTTTAATTTTAATTTCAATGGCAAGTTTCAAAGCATTAAATCCTTAAAAATAATATTTAAATTTATATATATTATTATTTTTTCCAATATATTTATTGTACATTATAATAATTGGTGGGGTTGGGTATGTGAAGTCAGTATCATAGAGTTATCATCAACCTGGAAGCGATAAATGATATGGATACGAGATCAAATGGCTAAAGAGACTCAAGATGTGTTCAGAAATCGATGAGGTGCCCGGTTAGTTATCCGATATCCATTTTTAAAAATAGTTTGCGTGTTATTTTAATATATATATTTTTTATTACTTTTTATCAGAGTTGTTATAAGATACTTTCTAAATAGATCTTGCTGCAGATACAACGTCATACATAGTCTTAAAATATATTTAAATACAGATACAATTTTTATTATACTTATGTTTAGTGTGTGTCTCAAAAATTTTTATTATTAAAACATCCCGTTATCAATAAAGACGGTTGTTTTAGACACATTAAAAAGTCGTTCTACCAGGGTAGATGAAGGTGTTATGTTATACTTTTATGAATATACATAAAGATAACCTTTACTAAAATCCCAACACTCATTTTTTAAAAAGAAAAGATTATTTAAAATTTAATGAGTGTCAAATATTTATCAATCCTTTTTGAGGTACTAAAAAAATCGGATATTATTTTTTTAGATGTCATCAATTTACAACTACTTGTAAACTTTGATAGTTCATCAATTAATTTCTGTATTAATTGGTTTATTTTTTTTAATATAGGTTGCTTTCTTCCTTTTTTTAAATTTAAATCTAATCAAGTTTGAAATAAAAATGAATTTTAAAATAGGCTTTACAAAGGTCTTGGAAATTCATTTGAACAAGCTGATGCTGAGTTGATTATTTTTTTGTTTCTATGATATTGATATGTATATATAAAAAAAGTTTAAATCAATATTATAAGTATTAAATATTTGACGTCATCTATCGTGTAAAATAAAATTCGTCTGGAGTTTTTGTGATGAAATAAACTCGAATATAATATTTAATTTAAAAAGCAAATAAATTATATCAAAAATATCTAAAATATATCTAAAAACAAATAGATACCTTTTAAAATTATATCTAGTAAAGAAACTTTTTAAAGATAGTAATTAGATACAAATACTATATTTCTGTCTCTAAATAATTAAAAATATTACACCAAATTAACAACACTACCTATAAATAATATCTTAAATAATTTATATGGTCACTTACAAGATGACAATAAAAGCTCAAATATTAGTTAAAATAGGCACTTTGCCATCAGCAAAATAAAATTTTTTAATTTGATAACTTTCAGTGACACAAAACCACAGCAATTAAATTCAAAAATAATTTATATACTAAATTTTAAAAAAAGACTAATTAATTATTAATAACATTAAGCAGAGCATATTTTATTTTTTTGGTTAAAATTTTAAATTGAGAATTTTTAATAACTGATAAAAAAAATTTGGAAATTATATTAAATGAATAAATGTACAATATTAATCTTAAACGATATTCAATATCATAATAGATATTTTTGATGTTATATTACTGTATTTTTTTATGGATGGAATTCTACATCAACTAATATCAATTTTGCAGTCATCTCCTATAAATCATATCTTAGAATTATCCCGTTCGTTTCTAATAGCCTCGATCGTATCAAAAATTTTAAAAAAAAATGTCTGATAATTGCAAACCATTTAAAAAGATTAATAAGTATATGCTATTTGTTCAGTTGGCTTAACAATATCTCTGATTACAATTTTAAAACATAAGATCACTAATTTTTCCTCAGAGTTATGATATCGGTTTAGCTTCACCCTGAACTCATAGTTAGCCCGAATTCGCGGCGAAGAATACAAGTCATTTATTTTTGTATCTATAAAATTTTCTTTTTTAATATAACATAACAACCTTTTTGGCTATTTTTTTTAAATTAATTAAATCTTCTAAAAAATTTCAGCCCTATAAAATTGATTAAACATTAAAAATAAATTTTTTTTGTTAATTTAAATAAAAAAATTAAAAATTTTAAATAGACGCCATCTAGTGGATAGAGTTTTATTTTTTTACTTTTATAAATAAAGAATCTAATGAAGTTAAAAATTTTAAATAAAGGTAATTAAGCTAAAATATCTTATAAATACTTTTTTATACCTTTCCAACAATTATTTTTTAATTAATAAAGTAGTTTATTCTCAATTCATATGTTAAATAATGGAATTAATTTTTTATATTTAAATTTGTATTGATATTTTATATAACTTATTTGGTATTATTTCTTATACTAAATGAATCCCTGCTCTTCAATGAGTTGTTTTCAATTAATTTATATTCTTGAGAATGTAATTTTTTAACCATTTAATTTTTATTCATTATATTTTAAAAAAAATGAAAATACTATAATTTATTACAGAGGAGAAAGTCATAAGTAAACTATCAAAAAAATTGCACAGAATGCAGATTTATTTGGTGCAAATTTATTGTCCAGAAAAAATTTATAATGAATTTTAGCAATATGATGATGATAAAAAATCAAATTTGTATATTCTACATATAAGTTTTATTATTATATTAAAGGTCAAATCTGTTGGTCATTCAAAATAAATCTATTCATTTTTTAGCAATATGATGATGATAAAAAATCAAATTTGTATTCTATATATAAGTTATACTATTATATTAAAGGTCAAATCTGTTGGTCATTGAAAATAGATCTATTCATTCATTATCATTACATAATATCCATATATAAAAGAAAACACACAAAAAATCAATTAGTTTAGAAAAAGGAGTGTTATGTTACATATTAACAGCTTTCTTAGCCTTCAATCTCATTCGTTTAATACACAAAGGAAATACATAGAAAGCCAACTGAATTTATAAATGATATAAAATCCTTATAGGTTCCTGGGTTACGCTATTGACGACAAGGGGATTCATGCTAACCATGACAAAATTGAAGCAATAATTAATATGCCAGAGCCAAAATTCTGAGTTATCAACATTTCTGGGCGTGACTGGTTTCTAAAATTTTTGAATAACTTTGCTGAAATTGCTGATCCTTTGTATAAAAGTGTTAACAAAGAGAAATTGGAATGGAACTTAGAACATTCCAGAAGTTTTAATGACTTAAAGAAGTTGATTAGTCTTCTGCCAGCATTGACTTATTTTAATCTGGAATTACCTATTGGAATTGCGACTGATGCATCCAAATCTGGATTAGGGGCTGTATTATTTCACACAGAAAAAGATGGCAAAGAAAAACCTATAGCTTTTGCGCAAAGAACCTTAAAAAAATCCGAAATAAATTATGCTAATATTGAGCGTGAGGCTCTTGCCATAATGTTCGCAATTAAAAGATTTCAAGAATATTTGTGGGACTAAATTTACTAGCTTTACGGACCATAAACCATTAGGCCATCTTTTTACCAAGGGACTCAAGGTCAATAGTACCATGTCCTTAAATATAACTTTGGGGGGTTAAGATTTCAACATAAAGTATAAAGCAGGTAAATACAATGTTGTTCCTGACTGCCTTTCAAGATTACCACAAGAAAGATGATGTTATAATATTGAAATCGAAAATGATTTTGCCGGTACACCTATTAATTTTAATGTGATGAAACTTACAAAGATTTAGAAATTATCTCAAGTTATAAATGATATAAGGAATAATGAGCCTATAAAAAATAAAATATATAAAAATATGGAATTGGAATTAGCATTATTAAAGATTGTCTTTTCAAAAACAACAAAATTATTATTCCATCAAATTTTAAAAAAACGTACTGCAGACATTACATGAAAGTCATTTGGGAGCAGGTAAAATCAAATCCTTAACCAAAGATTTTAGTGGTGGTCTGGTATGAATAATGACATAGAGATGGAAGTTAAAAGTTGTGACGATTGTAATATTTATTACGACAATCCTAAGAAATTACAAAATTCATGGGTCTCGGTGACTAAACCATTTGAAAAGATACACATAGATTACGCGGGTTCATTTTTCACAAAAAATTGGTTGATAATAGTCGACGCCTACAGTAAATTTACAATTATAGTTCCTGTTAGAAATATTACAACCGAAATCACGTTAAATAATTTAGCAATTTATTTGAATAAATATGAAAATATTAAACATTTAAAAATATAATTTTAAAATTTATGGCAATTTAAAAATTTAATAAAATTTAATATTTTTTCTAAATTAGCAATATTCACAAATATACAAGTGACACGATTGTTTCCTCCCCGTTGTAAAATGTTAGCCTTTAGATCCCTTCATGTCCGTACACACTAAATTCGATAAGTATGCATAATTTGGTTTATTTGGATAGTAAAAATTTATGACAAAGATTTTACAGAATAATCTTTTTTTTCAATTATATTGTTGTAGCTTGAAAAATAAATATTTTAAAATTTGTCTATATTTAAGAGAATTCTGATCATTTTGGAATTTAAAAAGTACCCTACCACTCTTATAATAATAATAATAATGCGTCGCTTTAAATTTATATCGGTAAAGTTGAACCCGCCATTTTAGATTTTTCTGAGTTTTCAGTTCGATTTGTATGCCCATCACCGATTGAGATATTCAAAGAAGAAATGGGCAAGACCAACTTTAGGGTAACCCAGCAATATTAGAATTTACAAATAAAACCTGCCTATTTATTTTGAATATCTCACAGATAGTAAGGAAATACGGAAATTGGTTTCAAATCCATCCCAGTTTATATCAAAAAATATTTTTTTTTAATAATGAAAAATAGTTTTAAAAAATATACCAAAAAATTTCTGATTCAATTACGTTACCATTTTTTAATATAACTGGCAAAATTGTGAATTTAAATTTTTTTTTTTTTAGAAATAGTATAAAAGATAATAAAAAAAATTTATTTTTATTATTTTAATTAATGTTTTCTCATATTTTTACAGTGTTTTACTTTTGTCTTATAATACATAACTTAATAAGTCAAGATCAAATCGATTCAAAATCCATTAACAGCGATGAAATTAATCAAAATATTCTGGATAACATAAATGCATCGAACATTGAATCATATTTACGGTAAAAAGCTATTATTTTAGTAATTTATATTTTGTTTATCCTCCATTTTTTAAAAAATCTTACTAATTAATATGTATGTCGTGATGGAATGTGCAATCCATGGGGATTAGGTATCTCTCTATTTTAAATTATTTATTATGGCTAAATTTTGCATTTGAAAACAAATTCTGCTTTGGCCGGAAATGTATTCCAGCGTGTGTGGAAGTAACTACATTATGAATAAGTGACCCGCTACAACGGTGGGGGGGGGGGGGCTGTACTATTATTTTACTTCCTGGAGGAGTAAGTAAACACTTTTAAAGTAATTGCTTTTTATATAATAATAAAAAAAATTCTTATTTTTAAATTTTTTAAAAAAATTACTTCGAATTTCGCATAATAGTTTTATTTATTGTTTTTTTAACCCCCCCCCCCAATAACTAATAATTCCCTTTTTTGTTTTATTAGTATTTTTATCAAAAATCTAAGAATTTGGGGTAATGATCTGCATCGGGCTTAATATTTTTCAAGCCCGGCACAAAATTATGTAAAAGGTTATGGCTGGCCCGGCCCGAACCTGAATTTTAAAAAGTTATGCCCGGCCCTACCCGAATTTATTAAAAATGTAGAAATTAATTTTTATAATTACTCAAAATAAACGATATACATGTTATATGGAGTTTTCTATAAATAAAATCAAATATTTTTACATTACATAAGAAATTCGGATATAAAATTGATAAATTTAAGATATATTTAAAATAAATTCTAAGGCCTGACCCGACCCGGCCCGAATTTTCTTAAAAAATATTAGGCCCGATCCGGGTACAGGCAGGGCCTAGTTTTACAGACTTCTAGTTTGGGGGATGCTTGAATTTATTTATGATTTTGAATCCATCTCATTCCTAATCCTGATTTTCTTTCACCTTCAAAGAGTGCCCAGATATCAGAGACCTGCATGTTCTACGCTAAGCCCAGCCCTGAAACATGGGCCGGGCCTTATTTTAGTAATTTTAAATAAACCCGGGTCTAATCGGGTATAAATTAATCGCTTGTTATTATCTATAAGAACGCCGAGCCATGCAAATGGCACCTCTCAATAAATCATTGCAAGTCCTAGGGACGATAAATGAACAACAGATTTGGGATAAGACAAAATATTCTTTTCGTAATTAAATATAGGTTAATAAGTAATAAAACACAATTTAAAGAAAAAAAAGAAATAAATGTAATAATATATATTTTTTTAAAAAATATTTTATCTCGCTTTTTAAAATGTTTGCTAAAGAAGCTGTTTTAGAAGAAAATATAATATCTTATTCTGATGATAAAAATCATGTTATTGATGTAGAAAATGAAGTTTGCTTAATATAAAGAAAAAGTACATTGTTTTATGGTTTTGCCATAATAATATTAAATTAAGAAGATTAATGAGTAAATTCAAGCTGATTATATCTTGACTTCAAGGCACGATGAAAAAAATTTTTTTCCTAATAATTTATTACTTTTAACAATGGAAAAAAAATAATATTATTTAGAGAAGATATTAAATAATGTAATATGATTGCACTTTCCTTCTTCCATTAATTTCTCGAAATGATTCAAAGGAAGCCATATAATTTATTTTCTTAAAGTTTTTAATTTCATTTAGCCATTGGACCGAGGTTATATGGTAAATGTTTTGCTATTTTGTGATAAGATTTTATTTTTATAGAATAAAACTAATTGTATCATAGCTTCATCATTATTTTGCAAAATATTTTTTAAAATAACTGAGGTTTTATATATTTTATACTGTGAGAATAGGATTAATTTAAGGTAGTGCTTTTAACTATTTACCAAGATATTGGGGTAAGATGGAGAGCCCTTTGGGGTAAGATGGTAATTTAATCCATAAAACTATAAAAAAAATTATTGTAATTTTATACGTAACTCCACAATAAAGATACAAAAAAATAGATAATTCCTGGCCCATATAAGACATGCTCATTCGAGACAATTAGCATATTAAATCTTCGCGCATATTACTAAATGACAATTTTACATCCCTAAAGATTTTACCATCCCCTGTTTAAAATAGTAAATCGAAAGCATCAAAATTAGCATACATAACCATAACTCCTGCCCTCCTTCAACCCCTTTCCTCATCTGCTTTTCCCTTTTATTAAACTTTAATAGCGATCTTGCATATCCTTACCTATATGGTAAAAGTGTCTGCTATCATGATTAGATAGTGATTCAGTTATAAACTCATCAGCTATTTCGAGATTTAAATAAGCGTTTTGGGTATATCACTAAGAATAATGCTATCAAAAATAATTTCCTATATAGATACCCATCTTTACAGGTAAAAGTAATATAGTTTAGCGGGTAGATTCCACATGAAGAATACCTATTTAACCCTTTTTAGAAATTTTGTCATGGGAAATTATTTCTCCACAAATTAGCCATTTTACTTGTTATAATATCCCGTGGGAGTTAAATTAAATGACTCTAATAATCCCAGATAATTTAGAAATCCCGGATCTTATCTTGTTGGGCAGAAAATCTCTGTAAACGATAATGCTTATTTTCTATTAAGGTCTATTTAGTGTCATTTCTGGCTCAAGTTTTAATATACGCTCATATTATATTTTTACCGTATTCTTTCATTTCTTCACCGACCTCATCTCTCCCTTATTCCAACAATCGCCAGCATTTCTACCAGAATAATTACTTTTCAGTTTTGGGTTCAAATAATATTTGGCTTTATCCCAAATGGGGTTAAGTAATCGTTCCAGAAGACAAGTGTACTATTGTGTGTTTTTTATGGGCCTTAAAAAGCTGAACCTAATTTATAAAAAAAAAGGTTGAAAGGTTTTCCTTTTTAATACTAATTTATTTTTACTATCAAATTTTTTTGAATTATAAGCAATTTTAGTGAAAAGGTTCATTTGGCAGGAACTGTAAGGCAGAAATATTCGGCTGAAGCTATTTACACCGAATGGCTCAAGTTCAAGCTCGATACAGTCAAAATTCAAACGTATCAAGTCATGTTGACCTATCCGAATGAGAAGTTTCAAAATAATGTTTTTTTAGCCTAATTTAGAAATTGACGTATTTACGGTTCTAATATATCCTTGGGATTTCATGAATTTTCAGTAACCAACCATATGATGAGTTCCTAAAACTTTTATTATTACAATAATTTTTAGAATATTTTTGCCCATGAACTTTTGAACTAAATATTATTTTTATTTTCAAAGATTTATCTAATAAATAATAAATGACTACTTAAAAACTCGCTCAAATAATGGTTTAAACTTGAAAAAATAATGCTTTCACGTAAAAAATACATTGAGGTTAGCTAAGGTTGTTGTTCTTGTTGTTTAAAAGCAAGATTTGAATCACCTTAGCCAAAATATGTAAGCCTGGAAACTTCAGCGGCAGAACAGTTTGGACCTCTGTCTTCCAAATCTTGAGGCTTACATATTAATATATTGGTCAAAATCTTAATCGGGTCGTTTTTAAAAATCGACCAAAATTGAACTTTTTAACAATAAGAAATCTTTCGCAGTTAAAAATTTTTCAAATGCATAATTTTTTTTGTTAAAACCTTTGCTTTAAAATTAACCATTATTTTTTTTAAGAGGAAAATTTTAAAACCAAAAAATTATATAGATCATATCCCCTGACATAATAACATATAACACTGATTAGGACTAACGGTTCATTCATTTAAATATGTATCATTACAAAACAGCTGATGACACGCCATTTTTTAGTTTCCTAATGCAAAATATTTAAAAATAAAATTTAACGAAAACTTAAAAAATTATATAATTGTGAGTTTTTTTACCAAGGCCCCCGAAGAGAGCTGATGATATAATTCGATCGGCAAACCTATGGGGTTTTGTTGCCGAAAATCCCTAATGGGTACATGGCTATAGGAATGACTAGAATATTCTGTAGATCTGAATTTTATTTTTCTCTTTAAATAATTCTGGGAAATCGCGATTCTTATACGGGAAACTAACGTGGCATGCTCTCGGCTGACATTTTTTTTTCAACGAGCGCTTATGCATTCTAATGAATATATCGTCAGTCTATCTAAGTATTATAATGTAATTGAATCATAAACCTACCTTTAGAAAAGACAACAAGGTTTCATTGATTGACAAGGGTGGTGACGTCATATGGGAATTTACCGGTATAAACAAAGATTCGTTTCCAGATAAAAATGACTCAGAGTTGATTCTTCCTTATAATGCCAATTCGGCTGATGGAAATATCGAGGTTACTTTTCTTTTCTTTTTTTTTTAATTTTGATATTAGCATTTAGACTGTGTCCTTGGTCGACTTATTGCTTAATATTTATTTTTAGCATCGATTTAAATAGCCAAAAAAGTTAAAAAACAATAAGGTTTATAAAAATAAAAAGAAAGTGAGAAAAGGCAAAACGTGAATAAAATGCGAAAAAAAATAATCCACCAAATATTTAAAACAAACCAAAATAGAGTGCCTAGCTCAAAAGCTTTTTAGTCTATACTAAAAAGCAAATTAAGTATTCAAAATTAAATCGAATCACAGGACACAGTCTTATGAAGGAAGTATCTTCTTATGCTAAAAAATAATTAAACCCTTTTTAAACAAGCTGGAATGACTCAAAGGATAAAGAAATGAAATTATAATTTGCCATTTTTTTAGTGACTATAATTTGAAATATTAAAAAAAATACAAGTCGGATTTAGTTTACGTCAATTATGGTAGCTACGATGATTTTTTGTATTTGAAAACCCGATTAAACCTTTCATTGTCAGGTAAAATTGGTATCGCCAGATATGGTTCCATCTTTAGGGGATCCAAGGTTATGATTATACTTATTTGTAATTTACATACTCTTTAAAAAAAAATTGATCTAGTAAAACAAAAAAAGCCGAAGAAAGCTTGAAGATTTTGGTCATAGATGACACAAAGGTTTGGACATCTATTAGCCAAATCTAGAGGCTTACATTGAGTTAAACATTTTTTAAAAATCGGTTCTAATCGAGCCGTTTAGCAACACTACTTCAAAAACAGCATAAAAGAACTGAAAACGATAATGAATCTTCACAAACCGAAAAATTTATTAAAAATTATAATGCTAATAAAGTTTAATTTATATTTACATGATATATATCTATAAAACGTGATCTTATAATTTCTTTCTACCACCATAAATTAATTTTATTTTGAATCAACTTATACTTGCCATATTCGTTTCACATCTCCTTTATTATCTTTTCTTATTTTTTTTTAAATTTTTTCTTTTCGTTCGCTTTTTCATGTATGCTAAAAAAAAATTCTCAGATCTTCATAATTCTACCATAATAAATAAATTAACCTAATATTCTAACTATTTTTCTTCCTATCCTCATAAATTAAATATCTATTACATTTGAAAGAAAAAGTTAGGATTATTAGAGCACCCTAAAAAACATCTGGGCTACCCTTCTCTCCAACCATCCTTCCAAATGAAAACTCCTTTTGATACAAAATTTGAGGAGTCACAGAATCCCCTGGAGGGGAGATCGGTTTCTTGATTAGCATTAAACTTTCATAGATTTTTTTTTAAAGATTGTTATTAATGTTAAGAGACGCCGAAGTTAAAGACGAAAAATTAGAAAAATATTTCGTTATACAGTCTGAGTACTCTTATTTATTTATTTTTTTACCCCAGTGGGATTAATTTAAGGCAAGGATTTTTAGGCCTGGCTGAACTGCTCGCGCAAAATATTGCTACCGACTAGAAGAAAATTCGTAATTTTTTTTAAAAAAGCTCACAATTAGGCAAATACGTGACTTTTTTTCCTTCATAATTATTACATAAGGTCCCAGAGGAATATCTTCAAAGAATTCCAAAGGCCGGGCTTTCCAGATCTCTAAAATTTACAACTTTTGAAAAAAAATTTTTTTTAAATAACTAAAGGATAACACAAAATTTTTTTTTTCTGTCCTAGATTTAATATATATTTGTAGGAACATCACGCTTCTTCCTCGACGTCGTTTAATGGTCTTTTTCTAAGTTTACTCTGGTAGACCATTTTTTATTCTAATCCCTTTTCCCATTTTCAACGGTCCTCATTTCATTATCTATCATTTTCAAACTTGCCCTTGGTCCCTCTGGGTCATGTTCCTCTACTTCTAATCACCAGAATCTAAACCTCCTGGTTATTTACCGTTCAACATATCCAAACCATTTCAGTTTATTTCTTCTCTCTACATCATCCATTGCTTCTATCGCAATCCTTTCCAGCTCTTTGCCATGTCTTGCTGTCGTACATGATGTAACTTCCCGCAAACCTTGCATAAACATTACCCTTCAAAGCTAGAGAGACATTTTTATTCGTTAAAATTGGAGACATCTCTCTATTCACTCCCCTTTTCCCATTTTCAAAGGTTCTAAGCATCGCCGCCTGTCAAACCTAGCATTTCCATTTCATTATCAATCATTTTGAAACTTGCCTTTGGTCGCCCTCTGGGTCGTTCCCTCTAATTCCAATCAACGGCATCTAATATTTACCTTCCGTTCAACATGTCCTCACCATTTTAGTCTATTTTTACTCTCGACATCACCTATTGCTTTTGTCGCAATCTTTTCATTGTGAACTCATTTACGATAGAGTAGATACAATTATTGGAGTGAACTCATTTACGACAGAGTAAGTAAAATTATTGGAGTTTTTATCAACATCCTTACCCACACACCACATAGTCACTTCATTTTTTCTCTATCTTTTCTAAACTTTCATCTCCAAACATCACATTCGTCATTTCCATATTTACTTTTTAAGACCCTACGGTTAAATTTTTATTTTTTTTTAAACACAAATTTTTTAAAAGGTGAAAAATGCAGAAGTATTTAAACTTGCTGGTCTTATCTTATACCCCGATCCTATCAATTTCGCTCTCGAAGGTATAGATTCAAATGTAGTATACCCTAATACCTGGTGGATGCCGGAATCAGGTATTCAGATGGGAACCGTATCTCTTTTCAGTGGAGATCCTATGACTTTGGGATATCCTTCTCTACGTAATGTTTTATTTTGTTGTTCGTCAAGATTTTCGGAGTAGAATAAAAAGTTAACTATTTTATGAAGGTATTAAAAAATGCATTTCTAATTAATTAATTAATTAACCTAGCAAGAAGGAATTAAGGAAGGAATTAAGGAAGGAAGGAAGGAAGGAAGGAAGGAAGGAAGGAAGGAAGGAAGGAAGGAAGGAAAGAAGGAAGGAATGGAGTAAGAAAGAAAGAAAGAAAGAAAGAAAGAAAGAAAGAAAGAAAGAAAGAAAGAAAGAAAGAAAGAAAGAAAGAAAGAAAGAAAGAAAGAAAGAAAGAAAGAAAGAAAGAAAGAAAGAAAGAAAGAAAGAAAGAAAGAAAGAAAGAAAGAAAGAAAGAAAGAAAGAAAGAAAGAAAAAGAGAAAAAATTTTAACTTAAATATTATTTTTAGGGATTAATAGTCTAATAAAGATCTTAATTGAGATTGCAGAACAAATAACGCAAAGAATGTTTTGAAATTATCAATAGAATTAATTTTAAAAATGAAAACTAAACATCTACATCATATAAAAATTAATGTCCATGCTGAAATTTATATATCTTTTATAATAATATAAAATTTAAATGTATAAATTATTCTAAGCTAATTGTATATTATACAAGCTTTTAAAATATACAAAATTCTGGGATGCTCCAAAAAAATACTTTTCAGAAAGAGCCTAATTAGACCTAATTTTTAATTTTTTAGCCCTACCCAACCCACTGGCTGAGTTTTAGAGTTAGCTAGGGCAGGCGGATATCTGATGTATATTTTTCCAACCTTCAAAGCATTTATCAAAATTAGTTAAAATACTTAAATTTATCCACTATCTTAAAAATAGAGGTAAAAATACCCTTTTAGCTATTCGCCATAAACAAAAATTTATCGAACAAGAACATTTTTTTATTAGGGAAGATCGAGATGATATGGCAGTGATTTGCATTTTTGCCATATTTAGCCCGGTTCAGGCCAAAATCTTTAGCCTCTCCCGATTAATTAAATTTAAAGGGTCAGGGCAAAACCACATCTGATTTAGGCCGAACTTTGCGCAAATCTTACCTCTAACCTACAAATTCTTTACTCTCCTTAAAATCTTGCTGACACACTAGATTTGTCGCATAAAAAATGAATTTCTTAACATTCTACCGTTTGTTATTCCTAAGTTAATATTATTTTAACAGTAATATTTTAAATAAGTTTATTTTTTTAAAAAAAATTTATGTAGCCTCTATGTATAGGGATGTACCGCCAAAAAATTCTCTACCTTCCATACCAGTTTATCCCATATCATACTCAGATGCCTGGCACCTATTAAGTGACATGGATGGCAGTATCGTTCCTAAGGAATGGCAGGGTGGCTTAAATTTGACTTATCAAACTGGACCTGGATTTATTGATTCAAAATCTGAGTGGTAAAGAAAACAAAATTGATTGATTCGTGTTTTAGATTCCTTATTCTCAGTTCGGTTTGAAAAAAAAATTCAAGGATAACTTAAAGATTTATTTTTTGGCAAAAATATATTTATCAAAAAAAGCTAATCAAAATGACATTTTTAAAGAAAATCATAAAATAATTTTAAAAATTTGTGGTTTTCATTATGATAGATTTATTAAGCATAATAATCACAAAAAATTTATCTATGAAAGATATAAAATTTTAGGTAAAATTTGATCATCTATCTCATCAAAATCTTCTATTAAAAAATTTTCGTAGATTCAAAAGTTTTAAAGATTTTGAATAATTTAAAGAACATTTTAAACTCTGGTTTGTTTTATATAAAATTTAGATAAGATTAAGTTGCGTTTTATATAAATTTGGTTGGTAGTTAGTCTATTATTTTTTTTTTAAATATATTTGATCTTATGATTTTTATAACTGCAAAGGTAACTTTTGAGAACTTTATACTTTTTCAAAAATTAAAATTATTAACTCGCCTTTTTATAGAACGGTTAAAATAAAAGTGTCAGGCTATATTTAAAATAATCATAAAGATACATTGAGAATATATATAAAAAAAATTTAAAAATATATATTAAATTAGTTATTGTATAATCTCTTGTAAATGTAATACAATAATCGAACCATTCCTCCTAATAAAGGAAAGTTAAACTCGCCGTAAATTTAAAGAGGGAGAAAAGACCAATCTACAATGTGATAGGCCGTATAAATGGAGATATAGAACCTGACAGATATGTAATTTTAGGTAATCATAGGGACGCTTGGGCATATGGAGGCAGTGATCCTGTAAGTGGTACTGCTTGCTTGTTAGAGATTTCGAGGGTGTTTGCACTGTTACATAAAAATGGTATCATTCATTATAATTAGTTTAAATATGAATTAAGGAAAGGGGGGGGGCTGTGCAGATACGGAGAATCTTATCATAACAATATTAGGTAAGTTCAGATCAAAGATTTTTATTGCACACATTAAATTTAATAAATATGTTATAAATTTTTTAAAATAATTGATGTCTACCATTTCAATTACAAATATTCTTATTATACTGATTTCCTTTAAAAAAAAAAATTAATAATATTTAACGAACATGAGGTTGGAATCCTAGAAGGACCATAATTTTTGCCAGTTGGGATGCGGAAGAATTTGGATTGGTAGGATCCACTGAATACGTTGAGGAAAATATGAAAATTCTAAAAGAGAGAGCAGTTGCCTATATAAACGTCGACAATTGTGTTACAGGTCTATTTGTCTTTCGTTATTTTTTTCTTAGTCAAGCTATTTAAAAATAGAACCTAAAAAGAAACCAAATCCATATTCGCTTAGAATCTAATCCAGAACAGAATACACATTTTTTAATCCTAAACATGTACTATTATTAATCGTCCACAGATATAGGAAATAAACATTGGAATTTTACTTTTAATTAATCATAAATATCTCAACCCTTTGTTTGCTTTAAATTAAGTTTGAAAGCTCTCAAACAAAATATCATAAATTTTATGATCTTCAAAGATTTTTTTTGTCCACAACAATTTATATTATACTCTGATTTGAAAAAAAAAAAATATATTAAAAAGTTTATCGAAATTTAAAAATATGGAATTTAAGATTTTTGATAGATTTGGAAAAGATAATTAAAAAAAAAGATTGCAACCAATCAGAAACTAATCCCGAAACGGAAAATCTAATCAAATAAATCAATAATATTTTGTGATATTCTAAATTAGGAAACCATTCGGTTAGAATAAACGCGTCCCCACTTTTATCTAAAATCGTGTACGAAGTTTCAAAAATGGTAAAAAAAAAAAATATCTTTTCGATTATATTTTAAAAAAGTTACCTTTTCTTTGTACATAATTTTTTCATATTTATAGATACTTAAAAGTTAGGGTGTTTTAAATAATGATTTCGAAGTACAAAATACGTCCTTTTGAACGAATTAATTGTTTTATTTATTAGGATTTGATGGTTAATGTTTGAATTAGAGTATACTATAAAATATATATAGCATTTAATTGTAAAATAAAATATTATCTCATAAATATAACAGATACCCAATCCTAATAGGGCTGAAATAGGTTTAGGCCTGAAAACGGTTTATGACACTTGGCTAGCAAGTTCCAAGACCCTGAGTGGTAACCCTAATATAGGAGAGTTAGGTAGCGGGAGCGATTTTTTCCCATTCATGTATTATGCCGGTGTGACTTCTATGGATATACGTTATGTGTATAATAAGGTAATGCGCTACAGAGTAAAAAAAAAATTGAAATAAATATCAAAACCACAGATATCTACCTATATAATCGGCGTATAATTGGCTATGGAAAAATTATTTCTATTTATTTTAAATAAAAGCTTATTATTTTTTTTTTAATATTCATAATCCAAATAAGATAACCCCCCCCCCCAAACATTTTACAATATTGAACTCTAAATAATTTAAAATAAAAAGTCATTTACCGACCTGGTTGCCTATTGAAAATATACCTATATAGTAAATCTTATATTTTGCAAACTAATATTAAAACATTTATTAAATTATATACAATATAGGATGATATGAATATACCGAATTACCCTTTGTACCATACTAGATATGACACTTTTTACAATGTTCACAAACACATAGATCCAGAATTTATTTATCACAAAGCGGTAAGTCAGTTAATAGCTATATTAGTTCATTACTTGTCTGATTCTCAAATCGTACCCCTATCACCTGCCTCTTATGAATATTCCCTAACGAAATTCTATAGAAATATAATTAAAGACTTCAACTCAACCCTGGAATTCAGTAGGATATGCATGAGTAAATTATCTCACAAACGTTCATAATAATTTAAATAATTTCTAAGGATCCTTATATCATTTTTATAATTTCTTTTGTTTTCTTTGTTTTATTTTTTTTAAACCTTTTTACTGATTTGTTTGTCATCGCATTATCCATTTTTTTAAATATAAAATTTTCCCCCAACTGATATCAGCATTTAAGAATCTATATGATTCCACTCATTTGCATAGCGGATTTTTTCTTTTGGTTTATTTAAAAATTGTCGAAATTGTTAAATCTTAAATTCAAAGAATCTTTTATATCCGGGTCTTAAATAAATAGAAAAATTAAGTATATTTTGGCATATAGTAATATTTATTCTGGTTGAAATATTTGTAGACTTTTTGAAATGAATATTATGATTTATTATTATCTTTCCAAAATAAACATTATATAGATGATCTTATGGCTGCCATAACATATTTCGATCGTAAGATGACAATTTTCCAAAATAATTCACTATTACCCTCCTTCACCAACACCACTTCGTCAAATACACAAAATTATTCGGTCATACAGGCTCGTTCATTGAACGATAAATTAATGATAATTGAAAAGGGTTTCTTGGACATATATGGATTGCCCCACAAACATTTTTATAAAAACTTGATATTAGGGCCATCTAATACAGATATAAATAGTGTGTCTGGTTTTCCAGCCTTAAATGACTTACTTTACGCACTGCAACAATTGTCGAATAATTCCGATATTGACTCAAAAATTTTAGAATTTTGGGTAGGCGATATCATTACCGATTGGAAGAGTTGTAATAGTGGGAATGACTATTCAAATGATTTATTGAGTTATACGTATCCTGATTTGTGTAATTTTACCGATCCATCCATAGATTTTACACCATCTACTTCAAATGATCAAAATATTTCACATATAGTGAATGGTAAATCTAAATGTAAATTATCAAGTTTCTTAGTTGAGGCAATTAAAAAGCATATCGCCGTTTTAGCTTTTACGATCAAATCAACTGCAGATTTCATAGATGATTAAGCATATATGTGTATATAATTTTTGGAAAAACTATAGGAAAGATATTATATTATTAAAAATGGTGTATTATTATAATGTCTTTTTTTTTAATTAAAGTTATTTATAATAAAACTCTTAATGATGAGAGTTAAACGTTATTGATTTTTTATGTGCCTTATTAAAAGATACCGTAGCGTCTTGGCCTAATCAGTAAATGTATATGTCAGCTATCGTATAGATCTGGGTTCCAATCCTGACAGGACCAGGTTTTTCTGATTGAAAATAAAGCGAAATTGCCTTTAAGATATTAATTATTAAAATCCATTTAAAATCTCTAGCATGTGAGTTGATAATATCCCATCAAAAAAAAAATACACGCCAATTTACATCTGATGTACATTATATTGGCCCGACCGACCCACTCAGGAAAGGCAAAATTTTTATCAGGCCCAAAAAATTCGTGAATTATCTGGGAAAATATAATTATGTCTTAAGGTTTCATTCAAAGTAAACGCCTTTTTGTTTAAGCGGTGTATTTACAAAATCAAGCCAATAAATCGGTTATAATTTAAAAAAATATGAAGTGTTATGATGATAAGGCTTTGCTCCACCTCTTCTAAATTTAAATCACTGTTTCTCAGATTTTTTTCTTGACCATCTCAAACCTAATATCATTTCAAGGATCCCCAAAGGTGCAAGATTGCTTGTGGCTAAATTTTTCGCTGATTGTCTATCACTACTACTAAACTAGCAATTAGAATGAATAATTAAAATTCCTTTTCTATGGTTATAATAACTTCAGGGTGCCTGACAAAACTTCACTTAAATATCTTATCCAGAAAATTAATGATGCTGCTTCGATTGATGCCCCTCATCTCCATGAATACAGAATGCCATTGCCTTTCAAAAATAAAATAAAACACTCATTGATTGAGATGAAGGCCAATCTGATATGGAAGAAGATTGACAATCTTAATATTAAAGGGGCTCTCAAATTGTTTCCACACATGACTCTCTTTCTGAGCCATCCAATGATGCTTATATAAAGCTCTGTCAACATCCAACGGCTATCATTATCCCAATTACCCACAACCTCACTCAGCATGTGCTTCACTATTTACTTCTAAAGAAGTGAGGAAAGCTCCTTTCACCGAGATTCTGCCCATGATCTTGTTGGCATTCGCCCTATATTTCTCCAAGACATTACTTCCCCCTCAATATGCTTACAAACTCCCATTCTTTCTAAAATTACGAACTTTTGCAATCAAATTTTAAAAGTGATGTATCAAGCTTTGTTTCTCCAATTTTCTTTGGTGCTAGGCTAATAGCACTTCAAAGCCCAATTATGATATCATACCGATTGTTAATGGTTCTATCTTTCTTCGCTTAGTTGCCAAGATGATATCTTTTCGAATGAAGCATAAGCCTCATGCCTCCTAAGCCCCTTCCAGCTTGATGTTGGGATCCCTGGTGGCTGTGAAGCGGTTGTTCATTTAACGAGATTACACTTAGAAAATCAGCCAATCAATAAATCTTTAGTCAAAATTGACTTCTCCAATGCTTATAATAAACTTTCTTGGAATTCTTTCCTAGTTCTTCTTATACTCTTTTCCCTAGTTACACAAAAAATTTTTATTCTTGTTACCAACTTTCTTCCACCCTGCATTTAGATACTTATAAAATTCTATCCATTGAGGGTATACAACAGGAAGTCCCTCTAGGCCCTTTATTTTTCTGTTTAGGCATCAACGACATAGTTAAATCTATTAACTTGAAGTACTCATTATCCTAGCTTGCTTGGTACATTGATGATGGTATCCTTGTTTCCAATGAAGAGGTAAAAAAAGCAGTGAATTTAATCACGGAGGCTGGAAATGCTATTGGGCTCTCCATCAACCTTGAGAAATCTGAATTTATTTCTTTAACTTCTCCCCTCCCATAAAGCCTTTTTCCTCTTCAAAAATATTTCAATTTCCTCGTATTTAACATGTGCTTCGATCAACTCCCATTTTTAAATATCTAATACCTCTTGGTGTTTATGAAAATGGAATTAAAGCCCTAATCGAAAGTATTTTAAACCTCAAATTCGATAAAATTTCCTGAACACAAGCCTCTTTACCCACCAAGATGTGTGGACTCGGTATTAGATCTACTTCCTATCTTGCCTTAACCGCCTTCATATTCATTTGGCTTTTAACAAAAAATATAGTAAATTCCTATTTGATAACACTGACTGACCCTTCATATAATGGTGCCATTATCGAGTTGAAATCACAAATTATTGCTGATCACCCTTTACCAGAAACTTATAAGCAGAAGGACTGGGACGGGCCTATTATTGCAAACTGCGTTGAATCACTCCATTCCAGAATGCAATCTTACCGTCTTTTATTCTTCTCGCTGCTCAATGGTTTTGGCCATGATTTCCTTGAAGCCATTCCCTCAGTTATTTTACAATTACAACTAAACCAAAATGAGCTACCTCACGCCATTGGTATTAAATTGTCTAATAACCCAACCTCACATCTGTTCAGGTTGCAATTCTGGCCTGGTTAATGGAAGCACAGCCTCTATTGTCGTTTGTGCACGGTCGTATCATTAGACATAATCTATGCAATTCGATCATCCTTAGGGCCTTGAGATCTGCTCAAATTCCTTTCACTCTTGAACCTTCTGCCCTTTTGTTTCGATAGAAACGTCCTTATGGGTTTCTCAAATTCGCCGGAAGCGCGGTCAATTCCTGGTCTGGGATTACTCTTGCATTAATCCCCTTGCATCCAATCAAACTCTCAACATTCTGAAGAAAAAGGAGTCTCTTAAAATAGCAAAATATTCTGAAACATCTATTTATTTATTCCCACAATTTTCACTACTTTAATTACCTTTGGGAATCGTGCATTATCTTTTTTCAAGGAATTTGGCTCGCACATCTGCAAACTTACGGATGAACCTCGCGAAGGTTTCTTCTTAAGACAAAGACTAGCCATCGCGATTCACAAGGTTAATTACTTTGGTTTCATAGGCAGCCTCATCCCACAAGATGATCAGTCTTAACTTTAAATCGTTTTTTTATGATTAATTCATGAGAAATAAAAAAAGATTGGTTTTAAGTTATAATTCAGGTATGATTTACAAGAGTTGTAATATTGGTTTAAGAAAGATAAGTAATAAAAAAATTTCGAAAAGAAAAATTGAATGTAAAAAAGGGATAGAGAATTATGAATAATTTTGGGTAAACGAAAAGATTAGATTGTAAAAATACAATAAATTTGGATTTTCATCGAAAAATTGTAGCTTAGTAATAAAAAAAAAAGTCATCTGCACTTCATCGATTCGTAAAATGTCTTCTCCAGAGTTCCCTCACAGAATGGATTTTAAGCATCTTATTAGAATTCAAATAATGTGTATGAACAAAACATAAGAAATTCATCTGGAATGCCAATAAATATCTAATTACGATAGGTGTTCATCAAATGTCTGCGTGTTCATCACGTCTGTTTATCACAGTATGCAAAGTATAGATTGGAAGATTTAAAAAGGTAATTACAAGCGCGCAATAAAATATAATAAATAAGAAAGAAGTTTGTAACGCGTTTTGTTCAAGGTGTCGGTATTTAAGGCTGCGATTTTCAAAATCAAGAATTTAAATGAGTGTAATATATAAATATAGAGCGATAGCTACAAAGAATCAGCTGTGATTTCTATAGCGTCAAATACCGCACCGCTTGAATAAATCGCTTATAAGAGTTTTTTATACCCAATTTTTTTAATTAAAAAAAACTTAACGCATCCCTTGTCTAAATTGAGGTTGCTTTTTTAAAAAAATTAGTATCTTCGATTCAAATTTTTATAACTAAAAGAAATGTTTTTTTTTTGTAAAGTAACTATTTCGCTTTTTTTAAAATGGCTTCTAGCGCCAATTGAATTCGACCTATTGGTAGTGTTATTAAACGCTCCATTTAAGCCGATTTTTAAAAACAACTAATTCAATATTTTAGCCAGCAAAATATTGTCTAAGCCAACAAGATTTCGTTAATAAATGTTCAAACCTTTGTGCTGCCACCTGAGAAAAATCTTAAGGCTTGCATAATGTTTTTATTTGAGTTAGCCGTTTAACAACACTACCTATTAGCTTTTGAAACGCTCAATTTGTGTGAACTCTAAAAGGTTTTCTAGTGACTCCAAAATAGGTTTTTTTATGAAAAAAAAAATTGTTCTGTTTTGTATTTAAATATGATAATTTTATTTGTAATCTACAGAAAATACAATTGCGATTACCCAATAATAACCCGACCTTCCGACCCGAGCTTCCGACCCGGGCTTCCTACCTCACTTATACGGTCTGGGAACTATTTAAGATTTGGGTGGAAGTCGAATCTTTTTTTTCCCACTTTTATGCCCTGTTGAGACTTTGATGGCAAAGCATATGGGATAAATAAGCGAACATTAAATTAAAACTATTGTAAAACATAAAAAAAAAAAAATTTGAAATTTGAATCCAGATTTTTATTTCTTTTTCTTTCTCTAGATTAATTGATTATAAATAATATTTACTATAAAATTGCTATAAAATTTAACTCTCCAGGAACATGCGAAAAACCAGCACGGTATATTTTTAAAAAAATATAAAGGGCGGGGCCGGGCAAAAAATATTCGTATATAAAATATTTTTTGGGCCGGGTGACAATTTATACATAAAAAAAAATCAAGACCGGACCTCGTAAACTTGTCATAATATTTATATAAATATTTTTTTAAATTTCAATATTCTTGATTAATAACATTTGAAGATTAATTATAATATGCTTATTTTGATGTATTCTAAGAGTTGTCTTATCTAAAATATCACACCTTAAACAAGTTATTTATGACATGATCCCGTTACAAATATACAATAAGATATCAAACACGATAGCTTAAAACGGTGGGTAGAATAGATGGTCATAGAGAAGAGATCTAAGAGCCTTAATTTACGATGGGGAAAAATGGATATTAAAAATGTGTTGCCCACAAAAATAGTACACAATTTAAATAGTCTGTGCAAACTCATAATATTTAGACTTCTTTCTTTCCCTGACCGGAC